AAATATTACACATCTTTTTACTCATCACTGAATTTTAACAAAGCTGACAGTGCTGCCGGATATGTTTCAAATTTTAAAAGGGCACTGAAAGTATGTTAAAGGCCACTGGGAATATGCCCTGACGCCACCGCCATTGATTTTCTTAGGACCTTTCTTTCTTCCCAGAGGAAAGCATTATTCTGTCATACACACTTGTATTCTCCTTCATGATTTTATATCTGTACTAAATACTTTGTGTATCTTACAGTATTACGCATATGACATTTTTCTATACATTGACAGCATTTGATTAGACTTCAGTTTAGAAATCAACTTTACTGAGTTGTGATGAAGATAAAAGGGCATCCGCTCCTGTTATGTTAAGTTCTCTTCACCCATTGCAGTCAATTCCCAGGTAAGTGTTGATTTTCTTTCTACCACCTTAGATTCTAGAATGTCATATAAATACACTTTACAAGATGTACTCCTTTGTACCTTTCTTCTTTTAATCAGTATGACCGGTTTGACATGTGGTCCGTTCATGAGTGTATCACTAGGAGCCTGTAATCGAGTCCATTCTGAATCGCAGTGACTGGAGAACTGCTCCCCAGGGTGTCTGAGCGTTCACTCTGCGGAGGGCAGGCAGCCTCCTTTTCCTCCCTGGGAGGATCACTGACGGTGCAGTTTCTAGTCCAGCACAGAGCCCACTTTGCCACCAGGGTCCCTGTGCATACCACTAGTTCCTTCCATCTGTATTGTCAAGCGATTGCTTCAATATAAAAATATACCACCATTTAAAAAGTCCATTTCTGCTGGTGGGCATTTGTCTGTATCTCCTCCTTCCTTCTCTTTTTTTGGTCATTTTGAATGAAGCTGCTGAGATGATCGATACAACTGCTTTGCCAGGACACGGGTTTGGATTTCTGTTGGATGTGTAACCAGGAATGGAAACACCAAGTAATGTGGGAAGAGAATGTTCAACTTTACATGAAACTGACAAACAAATTAAAAGTGATTGTACAGTTTTATGTTTCAAGTTTCAACTGTTCAAAATCCTTGCTAACACTTGGAATTACCAGCCATTTTAATTGCAGTACATTTATTGGATGTACAGTGATATTACTTGTTTTTCATTCATATTTTCATATTCATATTTTCTTGCTGACTAAAGATGCACGTATGGTGGGATGCAAGTTCATTGCTAGATACATGCTTTATGAATACTTCCTCCCTGCATGTGGATTGACACTTCATGTCCTCAATGTCTCACTCCATCATTTTGTCTTCTTTTTGACCTACTTTAAATTTGTTCCAGTTTTTAACTTTCTGTTTTCTTTTCTATTGAGGCTTTTCCCTGTTTCTCTGTAGAAACTTAACTGGATAAATCATCTCCTAGGGGGATAGCAGGGGAGATTAGGGAGTTTGCTTGTACAGCTAACAACAAGCATAATAAAGAAGAAAATGTCCTAAAATTGACTATGGTGATAATTGCACAGCTCTTAATAATGTGATGGATCCATTGACTTGTATGACATGTGGATTATATGTCAATAAAACTGTTATTAAAAAGAATAGATGGCTATAATTTTGATGAAGTAAAGTGTATCATTTTTATTTTATATTTTTTCATAACTTTTATAAGAAGTGCTTTTCCATCCCAAAGCCATAAAAATGTTTCCCAAATTTTATTCTAGCAGATTTCCCATTTTGGTTTTACATTTAAGTTTGTGAGATATTTCAATTAAAAAATTGCTCTGTAAGAGAGTTGAGAGCGCCTTCGTCGTTTAATCAGTTGTGAGTTGGGCTGCTAATCACAAGGTTGGCAGTTCAAATTCACCAGCAGCTTCACAGAAGAAAGATGAGGCTTTCTATTCGTGTAAAGATAGATGGTCTTAGAAACCCCCCGGGACTGTTCTACTCTATATTATAGGGTTGCTGTGAGTTTGTTTTTTTATATGAGAGAAAAGGTTGTGTTTCCATATGAATGTACAGTTGTTCCAATAATATTTGTGAATATTCTTACCATATTGAATTATCTTGTCGTTTGTTGACAATCAATTGACCATCTATGTGGGGGGTTATGTTTGGACTTTTTATAATTTATTTTAATGAATCCATTTTTAAAAAGCAGGTTCATGAATTGAAAAATCTTAATATTGTTCAAATGCTTATTCTCCCTATATTGATCTTTAGATTCAATAAAATACTAATAAAAAATTCAAATTTTTGAAAAAAAAACTTGGATCCAAATATAATGCCTATGGAATCAACCGTCAAGAAATCAAACAATTCAATTCACTGGGAAAATCTTATGCAAAAGATCTCTTTAAACGGTTAAAAATAAAAGATATCTTTCTGAGAACTAAAATGTGCTTGACCTAAGCCATGGTATTTTTAATCCTTTAACATGCAGTAAAAACTGGATCGTGTGTAAGGAAGAATGAAGATGAATTGGCGTCTTAGGGTTATGATGCTGGTGTGGAATATTGAGTATAACACGGACTTTCAAAAGAATGAACAAATTTGTCTTGGAAGAAGTACAGACAGAATGATTCTTGGAAGCATGATGGTGAGACTTCGTCTCAAGGACTTTGGACATATTATCAGTAGGGACCAGGCTCTGGAGAAGGACAGTGCTAACGTGGAGCATCAGGAAACAATGGGAAGACCCTTAACAACAGATCGACACAGTGACTGCAAGCACGGCCACAATTGTGAGGTGGGACGTGACTGGCCACGTTTTGTTTTGTTGAACACAGGACAGAATGAGTGGGAACTGACTTCCCGACACATGTCAATAACAAAAACCTGACTTCTCTTTCCAAGAAGACTATCAGTGAATACAGAATAAACTAATGGTTCTTGCTAGTGGAGAAAAGAACACGTCTACAGGGAAAACAAAACAAAACAAAACAAAACATTGCCTTCCTTAAAATTCTGTTTGACCCCATTGTTGACGATGGCAAGAACGGACTCCCACCTAAGCACGGCGAGGATGGTGCAGGGGTCGGCACGTTTCCTTCTGCTGACCACAGGGCCACAGCAAGTGGACACCCACCCACGGCACCTCACTAGGCCATTGTAGGCATGGACTCAGAAGGTCTTTCTGAGTTTTCTGAAATAGAACATTTTCTTGAATTGCTTCTCAAATCACATTAGTTATGACAGTATATGCACCTGTAGAGTGTTTAGTCCAAAATTTTCCTGAGAACAAAATATTGCTCTAAATAATTCACAAAATCAGAATCAATGGTATTATTTAGGAAAAATTAGTCCACCTGCCATTAACTTTTGCTTAGATTTATGTGTCTGAAACATAACTATGGGACTGCTATCACAAGTGCAGAAACATTCTAAAACAGGATGTATGATCAGACCTAACATGACCAGCCACGGCAAAGATGAGCTGTTGAGCCACTTGTGTTTTTCCATGTATGGACTCTTACCTGCCCTTCGGAGCATCTCCAGGGGCTGGTGGTGTGCCAGTCTGATCTCACATGGAAACGGTTCACTTTATGAAGTTATTAACAAAGTTATTTAGAAGTCATTCCTTGCCCTAAGAAGGCAAACTGTTTGGCTTAGATTCAGTTTGAAAGACAACCCCCACTCCCAACCTGCCCCCCCCCACAACTTCATTTTGTCATCTTTTAATGTCGGTTTTATAATTTCAGAACACATTTGTGTCCCAGGCCTCAGAAAATAATCCACAGTAACTTTTTGAAACGTTGGTCCCTCAAAATGGACGTCATTATCACAACAATGCACAGAATGATCAAATCCTTCACTCAGCTTCAATTTCATTTTTAAAGTGTGGTGTTTGGTAACAGATGGGAACAGTGAATCACCAGCTCTTTTAGGAAGACGGCAAGGTTTAATTAGTCTTTCTTGTCTTTTTTTCCTTTGCAAAAGCCTTTTTATACATTTCAGCTATAAACTGGAAGTGGGACTGTGTGTTAAAGCAGGATGAAAGCAGAGGCGCTCCCGCAGCTGCTCTGGTCTCTGGCAAACCACTCGCGGGGGTCCAGTTTCACTTGCTTCACATGAAACACATGCTGCTCATTTATGGTGCGTGTACTTCTATGTATTCTGACAAATCGGATCTAAAAATGTTACAGATGGTCCTCATTATTTGAATTTGCACTTAGCAACCTCCTATACAACATGGCGAAAACCTAGCTCCTTTCCTATATAATTAAGAGCACTCTCAGCTCTCAGCACAAGGCAAATTGCGAGGCAAGTTCAGTTTGGCGATGTACCTACGTGAGTTTAGAAACATTTAACAGATGCTCTATTTGTTAACTATCTTCGTTAGCATAATGAAACCTTTCAAAAATCAAGAAAAAGCATGCTTCAATAACTTAATGCCCTGAAATTATGCTGATCATGCCTAATGCCTGTTAGAGATAAAGTCGGGTGATAGCAGGCAGCATCGTAGTGAAGTTAAGGCTGTCCAGAAATGAAAAACTCATGCGCCACTTTACACCTATTGAAGCAGAAACGTGTGTGTATGCACCCATCTTTAAACCTGAGACCTGTCCTCCACAATTATTTTACATAACTATTATAGAAAATAGACTGACCTTCAGCTTGAACGATTTCTTTTCTAATCACGCACTATATTGAAACAAAACGTCACCAATGGTTCCCACAGCTATGTGATGTCTTCCATGAACATTAAATTCCATATTAATAAGTACTAGCTTGCGATACACTTTCTTTGACTTAGAGATGAAGTAAATTTAAGAACTTCCACTTCCAATGAATCTTTTAATGTTTCCACATTTTTTCCTTTCTTCTTTTTCTGTAGTTCTGTATAAAGTAAATTTGTTTGTTGCAAGAGCAGTGGATTACATTCATTTACATCTCCTTGTAATGGAAAAACGGGAAGGAAATTTCACAGGACTTGAGGGAACACCTGAGAGGCCTAAGGACTTACTTTCTTGGAAAATAGATTCCACATTAAAATGACTTATGATTTTTGAATGCCTGAAGAAAAAAAATGAATCGATTACATTTTAATATGTGATCCAAAGTCAAAATTTATTTATATAGGACACTCAGAAATCCTGCTGAAAAATAGCCCACTTCATTAAAATTCCATTTGTTGGCCATCAAATTTTCCTATATGCATATCACAACAGAAATACACATATAACTCTCATCTTAAAGGCCACGGAATATTTAATGCTATTTAGTTTAATGAACCTCAATCAAAATCTATGACAAAATAACTTCATATAATTTGAAATTCAATATCTACTATTATATAATAAAATGGAAGCAGAAAATTTTTCTTTGATTTGCTACAACCTCATTAATTTCTTTATTTTCATTTCCACCAAATAGGGTTCCCAATACTCAATCTCAGGAAATGAAATAAAGACCATTTAAGATCACCGATTCAGAAGTCTCTGTTGGCACCACAGCATCGTGTCGTTAGCTTATAAGCTTGTGACACACCTCACATTTCTATGATTGTTTTTAGACATTTCCGCTGAAGAAACCCTTCAAAATCATTAGTGTGAGTTTCAGTACATATTTATTATACAAATACTTTGGTACATTTAGTCTGAATATACAACACAGCGGAACAGTTTGTGCCTGAAATTTACGCAGGTAGGCAGGTTGAAAAGATATTCTAGAATTTGATATGTGCAATGCATGGTTTAATTTTCTTCCATTCTTTAAACTGAACCTCACAATGCAATTTAAATAGCACTGAGTGTCCCTGAAGAGCTACTGTGTGCTGCATAAAGGCTGAATAATCCCTGCTGTGCCAGAGGGTTACTCCTCAGCTGTTTGGGATCATGAGATGATATCTCAGCACTCATAAAACAGAAGATTCAAAACACAGGGGTGGACATGGAAGTACAGATCAGGATGACAGTCTTGGAAGTTATCCACAAGAAACAGCAACACTCCGGAGGCCAAAATAACACTACCGAATAAACATTTACAACTTTTGTCCAAAGTTAAATCAAATAGGTAGGGAAAATTCACATTAAACATTACTGCTAATGCAATAATAATTTTTGCTTTAGCTCATTTCAAATATATGGGTTGTCCCCCAATCCTCTTAGGGGCCTTTTCATAAACATTTCAAATCTGTAACATTTATTCTCCAAGAAACATATTTATCCTGAATTAATTTTGATCTAAACTATGCATAAAATAGTTGGTGTATTTGGTAAGGCACAGTAAGGGAAGCAGAATGATGCCTTCATTTTACCAATTTCTATTCAGAGAAGTGAGGGGAGATAATGTTGGCTCCTGGGATTTGAAACAATCTTTTCAGTTATAATCTTTGGTCTGAGTGGTTACATGGTAGTTTCTTCCCATTCAAGTTCAACATCACCTATAACAGAAAGAAACATATCACAAAGTAGAATTAAAGGCAACAATTAAAAAGATCTAGATGTTTCATGGCAAAAATTAAGTATAAATAGAAAGTCTAATATCCAAACTTGGATCAACAGAAATGACACACCTTATATGTGTGTACTAACAAAGCTCTTAAAACCTTTCCACCTGATAATTGCTAAATACATTCTCCTGTGAGAGGTTAGCAAACTGGCAAACTGGGAAGACAGTGCCTCTGTTTACCTTCCATGGCATCCAAGGAGTCCATCTTTTGAAGAGCTGAGTAGTTCACGAAACAGATGGGCTGATTGCTTCCTTTACTTGATAAAAGGTCCAGAATGCACTGGTGTAAAAAGATATACTGTGCCTGGATAACCAAAAAGAGTGGTTGAACAAATGGGTGAGGTGGAGACTTTTCTTATAGGGGGCCCACACTGTTAACAGTAGAAAATAATACTGAATCTTAAAGTTAGCGGCACAAACTTAAACCATGATTTGGTACTACTTCACACAAGGTTTTCCTAAACTCTTGTCTCGTGGCTCCTCGTAGCTTTGAGTATTTTTTCCACACTTCCCATTAGATGCCAAGTGTGAACCTCTTTTCTTGCTGTGATGATAAAAGATGTGGCAATGACATCATTTCCCTGTTTTTATGAGTTGCCTTTCCCAACAGTTCTAATTGAGTCCCTGTTGACAATGACTTTCATTCTAGTTATTCTTCCCCCATTACCAAAAATCCATTGCCTCCTAATAATCCTATCTGATCTTTCAAATTGTTGTCAATGTGATCTCATACAGAAAATTACTTCTTAAAAGGGCCTAATACTCAAGGCAGATCTTTGTTACTCTTAAGCTAAGCTATTATTGTTTTAAAATGACTTTATAGTTACCCAGACTTGTGAGTTCCGGAGAGTAAATTTACTTAAAAAATCTGACTCTGGCAACGTATGTACAAACATGCTTGATACAATGGATGTATGGAATGTTATAAGAGCTATAAAGAGCACCCAATAAAGTTATTTTTAAAAACTACTTAAAAATGAAAAGCAAAAGGAATCTTGTTAGTGAAAAATGGTTGTGCAACTTGAAGGATGTAATCAAGGTCAGAGAATTGTGCATGTAGACACTGTTGAGCCGATTGCTGTGTTTTTTGTGTTTTCATTACAATAAAAAAGAATATCTTAGCTGAAAAAAAATCTGTGACTAAACGTGTTTACACTGCCAGCTTATTTAAAATACACCTAATAATTCTGACAATCACCTGGATACCTGGTGTCAAGTATTTGATCCTTACTGGTAGACATGGTAGTGTCCACACATTCAAGCACTAGACCTTTAAAGGCACCCAGCACGTCAATCACGACAACGTGCGGTTGTTATGCTTATTCCAGTTAGTTCAGTAATTTCTCAGCACTCTTGTGTGTGGCGTTTCCCAAATGTAGTTAGAAACTTTCTGACTTTAAAGGTACATCACCAAATGTTTAATACAGATAACTGGCAAGTGATTTAAATATAACTTCCTCAAAAATAGCCATCTTTTAAAAGAGCTTATGCTTATATCTATTGCGACTGTACCTCAGAATTTTTTTTGGAACTGGACTTCTCTTTAAATATTGTCTTTAGAAATTGTTGGTTACTACTAGGAATATCTATTTCTTCAAGGACTACAAAATGTTTCCAGAAATATTTCAGCCCTGACAGTTCTATGAGGGCAAAAAGCTGTCATATTCAGGACTATATCCAATGCCTATACCTGCACCTGGTACAGAGTGTATGGGAAATACATATTTGTTCCGTTTTTCTCGTTTAATTCCCACAGCTAGCCGATATTTGCCATTTAATGGTGGATTTGAGTTGGAAAACAGCCGGCAAGTCATTAGGGTACTCTATTTTGGTAAAAAAAGAAAAAAAGTTATTATAAAATAATAACTGTATGGGAATTGCTAGTAAATTACTACTCAAAATAATTCCAAGAGTATTTTCAAACATATATCACTCAATGGATAACATTATTGGCCGAAATATAGTGCCACTTCATAGAATTTATTTGAAGAATAAGCCTTCATTTGAATGTATGATTTAACTATGGTATTCTAAAGACAATCACACTAGAATTTGGAGCCACATGTGATATGTGAAGCTTCTGAGGATTCTGACCTCATCTTCTCCACCGGAAAGAATGAGGAGTGGAACTCGGCCAGCTGGGCAGGCTGCGTCCCAAGGCCTCTTGCCTGGCCCTGCGCTGCTGCGCCCTGGGGGAGAGCGGCATTCCCAGTGTCCATGCCAGATCGCCATATTACTTAGAGAATCACACTTTTCTGAATCTCAGTTTCTCGAACTAAAGGATCATAAAAGCTGCACTTTTAGATTTAAGGGACTTTACATATATAAAATGCCTGGCTGGGTGCGGGGAGGGGAGAAGAAGCATTCCCCAATTGTTTTTCTTTTACTTTTCAATTCACACTAGTGAACTTCTCAGGAAGAAAGGACTAACCCACATTAACTAGTCTTTGAGGCATCAATAGAATCCCAGGATAGTATCTTACTGCAGAACAGTCTCTCAGAAATGTATTTCAAATCCACGACAGCTATGAACTGTTTTGTTTCCAGAGAGTAAAACAACTCTATAGTCTCTCCTCGGTAGGAGACATGACCCTCTAGGGCCTGTCAGTGGCAGTATATCGATGAGGTGTCTGCCTTCTCTCGGCCCACAGCTGCTGTGATTGGTGCTGAGATATGAAAATTCTTCATAGAAACTGGAATCACTCTGGTATGCACCAGAGGGCAATCGGAACCCACTCGTGTGCAAGGGAATGTGGTTTATAAAGGCATCATCGTTTTTATCTTCTTTGCCACTAAGCAAAGACAGCGAAGAATAGATTTTTCTGGGAACTAAGTTTTGTGAAAGAGAACCTGAGAGTAAGTTTTCAGGGGAGAAGTAATCCAACAATACCTTGTTTGTCATTTACTATTCAGTAGGCACTATTCTCGATGCACCTTTCTTCTGTTAAATATTGCTAACAAACTTGTGAAAGGTATCACCTTACTAATTTACACAGGATGAACAAGTCAGACAGGCTTATTAAACAAAGTCAGAGAGCTAACAATTAGTACAGCTGGTTTTGAACTGTTCTTTGACTCAAAACCCAGGCTCTTTCTATGCCCATATGCAACTGCCCACTACTTTGGGGTAAACATGTATAATGTATGCAACTCATAATATAGTTAGAGTGCCACATAGGGTTAACCATCACTTCCCTATCAGTCTGTTTTACTGATTCCATCGTGCTTGGATCCACAACCAGTGCTCGTGGAAGAGCAGTTAAGAGATCAAATGCTGCATTGCATTGGGTAAGTCTGCTGCACAAGATCTCTTGAAAGTGTTGAAAAGCAAGGATGTTACTTTGAGGACTAAGGTGTGCCCGGCTCAACCCACTGCATTTTCAAGGGCTTCATATGCATGTGAAAATGGGGCATTGACTAAGGAAGATGGGAGAAAAACAGATGCATTTGATAGATTGCGCTGGTGAAGAATGGTGAAAGTACCATGGACTGCCAAAAGACCAAACGGATCTGTCTGGGAAGAAGGACGGCCAGCATGCCCCTTAGAGGCAAAGATAACAAGACTTCGTTTCACAGACTTTGGACATGTTATCAGGAGAGATCAGCCTCGGGAGAAGGACATCTTGCCTGGTAAAGTAAAGGGGCAGCAGAGCAGGGAGGGCCTTTGACAAGATAGATGGACTTAGTGCCACCGCCACAGCAATGGGCTCCATCGTAAGAACCACTGAGAGACTGGCGCAGTGTTTCGTTCTGTCGTGGGTGGGATTTCTCGGAGCTGAGACGGACTCTATTTATAGAGATCATTTAAACCACTCCTTAGCAGGTTCAGGTCCACAAATTTGTGGAGGATGGGAAAGGACACTTTTCAGCTTTTATTCTTTGATGGCTGATTCCAGAAGGGAATAATATCGTAAGCAGTTCCAATCCTAAACCAGCCAAGAGACACAGTCGTGAAATTTGTCTAGAGCATTTATCTATAAAGTGCATGTATGCACTAATGAAAATAGAAAGAACGGGCTAACACTCTGCTTATCCTTATTTTAACTAAAAAAAAAAGAAAATTAGAATGTGCTTTAATAATAGTTATTATTTTGATTTACATTGTGCTCTCACAAGATCCTTGAATAACAACCAGCTACATAATTTTCAGGGCCCAGTGCAGAATAGAAGGAGGCCTGGGTGCATAGTGGTTATTGCTACGCTATGCTGCTAACCCAAAGGTCAACAGTACGAAACCACCAGTTGTTCCTCCGGAGGAAGAAGAGGCTCTCTGCTCCTGTAAAGAGTTCCAGTCTCAGGGACTCACAGGGGCAGGCCTACCACGTCCTGTAGAGTCACTATAAGTTGGTGTTGATTGGATGCCAATGAGGTTTTATTGTTTGGTATATGTTTTATAAATTAAATAATTATGACTATCTATATTTAAAAACAAATATGTGTGTATGGACATGATGTGAAAATACTTTTGCTGAAAGGGATGTACAATCAAAAGTCTGATACCTCTGGTCTAGAGAAGCCCTTTTGTTAGAATACTAGCATTTGATAACATGGTACTACAGATTCTAAAGTCAAAAAGGTTCAAGGATTCCAGTCAAATGGCTGCAAACTGTTTTGCAAGGTACTTTTTCTTTTGTAATTGTGAATGCATATTTGAAATTGTACATGAAAAATCAGTTTAACTTTATACTCAAACTTATTTTAGCAAAGGACCCTTTTCTCAGACATTTAACCACTCCTATTCTGGTAGTTTCTAGGGTGCAATCCAGAAAACACTCATCTGACAGATGTTGGTGTTTTACTGGAAGAAAATATTTGTGTAGTGTACAAATTGAACCCGGTGGACCGGAATTTCTTGAATATTTTGTTAGTATTGGATTTGAATCCGCATTCTGATACTTATTAAGGCATCAGCTTGGAAGGTAACTTTTTAGAACAGCTGCTTTTCTACTTGGAAGGCAAGACCAATAAAATCTACTCTGCTGTTTGATCACATTGGATTTGCTTTATAAAGAAATAAGATCACACGTGTAAAAAGACAAGCATACAACTTGGAATCCACTAGACATTCTACAGAGGTTAACTATGATTTTAGTCTCGTTATCATTCTAATGCATAGATTTTCAATAAAGGAAAATCTATCTCTATAAATGTGTTTGGCCCAAAACAAAAATAACAAGGCAAAAATCTTTCAGCTAGCTAACAATTCACTATAGTAATCATTATCAATAATAATATGCAATAAACATAAATAAGGATATGCAAACAGGTGATATTCAAAGACTCACATTACAGTCATTTTTAAAAATTATTTTCCCAATAACAATTTTTAGCTGGCTGGTTTACAAAACAAATTGAAATTAATTCATTTTAATAGCTCCCTAGAGAAGCTAAATGCTAAACAAGTAATTTTGGATGACTGGGCTTTATTTCTTTGCAAAACTCCATCAGCTCCCCTGCTGAAGATGTTGCAAGCTGGTCTATAATGTAGGAAAAATCGCTACTGCTATCAAATACACTGTCAAGCAAGCTCACCTCCAACCAGCGTGCTCCCCTGACACTAAGATCTTCCCTTTCAAAAGCTCTATAGGTGACACTGTGCAGTTTTAGTTATCTTACCAGGTTCTGTACCATGCACATTCTTTCACTTCTTAGCTCAGCTACTAGTCCATATATGTCCACAAAGTCATGGTCATTTATGTGTTGCGTTAAATGGTCCAGAGCGATAAAAACACCAGTTCTTCCAACTCCAGCACTGCAGGATTGAAATCACATGAAAAAATGTCAATAAATGATTGATTGCTCATGTTGATAGTGAGGAAGATAGTTATTATAGCAATAATTCCTACATAGTTTCTTTTATTATTTGGATGTAGCTCATCTATAGAATTTCTTTGGATTTAAACTAGTTACTAAGCCTGCTTCAACAATAAAACTCACTGTCATTGAGTGGATTTTAACCCAGAGTAACCTTATAGGACAGAGTAGAACAGGCACTGTAGGTTTCCAAAATGGTAACTCTTCGTGGAAGTGGAACACTGTGGTTAACACAGCACAGAACCACTACGCCACCAGGGCTCCTTTCTAAGACTGTTTAAATGAGACAAAAACTATTAACATTAATAATTTATCATATAGCTCGTGGGTGTTTTGTTTGTGCATGCACGTGTGTCAATTATATTAGCTTCTTCTTTCATAATATTTTCAATGCTATAGAAAAAATTAATGCAAAGAAAAAATGAAAAATCACTGAAAATTTAATGCTAGAAACTTCACATTGAATATATATTTTGGCTACAAGTAGAAATTCTCAACACTAATGATACCAAATCGTTAGCCAAGGTGATATAGTTTCTGCAACACATGGACGTCTTTCACGTATTCTTTTCATCTATTTTCCAAAAATGTTATTTCTTATACATAATGAAATTGACAAACTAGATATTTTTAAGAAAATACCCAAGGGCAGGCATGTGTCTTATAGAAAATGTGACTGGGTAAACGCCACAAGCAAATTTCAGAAATTCCTGTCATAAAACTGATATCTAAATCATTAACATAAAAATGAAATAGAAAAAAAGACTTGAAATATTCCCCAGTCTTAGAAATATTACATGAAACCCCATGACACTGTTATTTTTATAGGACAGAACCAGTTGAATACCCAATTTCAATCTAATAAGCGGTATTATAACAACATATGAAAGGCGATGGTAATATATACGCCCATACTCCCAAACAGAGTACTCAGTCATTAAATCATTTACTATGTTTTTAGTACCAATCCCTGTTCTAGGCACTGTGGCCATAGCAGCAAATAAGAGGTTCAGCATTTTGCTACCAAATCATAGAAGCCTTTATTAAGCAAAAATATCAAAATGTAAAACTACTGTTTCTCAACATACTCTCCTTCTGGGCGTACATACTTCTGAAGGTGGTACTTCCGTCCCTCTGATCCTTTCCTAAAGACCCATGCCATCCTCAGTAATACTTTACAACAGCACTGTGGTCCTAGAAGGATCTAATGTGTTCTTTTTAAGTGTTCATTTGAGTTTGAGGAACAAATAGATATCTAGAGGGACAGGAGAAAGGCTTCATTCAGCCTCAATGGAGTAATATTTCTCATCAAAATTCTTTTAGAACAGCAGCACCCACAAAAAAAAAGAGCAGTGGCATTGTTGTGACAGAAAAAAATTTCCTTAAATAATTCCTTCATGTCATTGGCCTGTGTTATTTGAGGAAATCTGCAAGATGACCAATTAGGCCTCTGACAAAATAGTGACCATAACCTTCTGCGTTGACCTCTCTTCCTTGAATTGAACTGGCCCAGTCGATCCTCTTGGAAGCCACTGCTTTGATTGGGTCTTGCTCTCTGGAATGAATTGGTAAATAAAAGCCTTGTCCCTGGTTAGGATTGGTTCCATAAAATCCACTCCATTAGTATCACTCGTGCTTAAAAGACAGATGAAAGATCAGATCTTTGAGCCAGCTGACTTTTGCTTAATGCTTTTGGCATCTGTAGAGCTGAACGTTTTCTGAGGTCAATATGTTTACTTAAATGTCAACTATAAGGTTTGAAAATGTCAACTACAAGGTTTTGGGTCAACATGGCTGGGTCAGGAGTCTCAGTGGTTTGGTGGTTATGTTGTAGTAACCCTCCACTTCACCCTGATGGGATGTGAAATATCAGTGACATAGTTCCCAGCATCACAGCAACACACAAGACACCACACTACAACAAACCACAGACAAAAAGTCAAAGGGCAGTGAAAGGGAGGAAAAGTCCTCGATTACATGGATTGACACAATGGCTGCAACAACGGGCTCAAGGACTGGAGCAATTGTGAGGATGTCAAAGGACTGGGTAATGTTTCATTCTGTTGTGCATCGGGTCACTACGGATCAGAAACGACACAATGGCACCTAACAAATACAACAACAACACGACAATAATTCTCCATGATGTGACCTTACGCAATGTAATATACTCCATAATGGGATCTGTATGAGCAGCTTACCAGTTGTAAGAAGATAAGGGTGGTAAGCGATACTTTTACTCAGGTGGCAGCTCTGAACTAATTTCAAGAAAGTTTCCGTGGGGATGTGGCCTGCTTCTAATACAAGTGGATGGTGTGGAAAGCTTGCTTGCTTTTTTCTGATCCTGAATTCTACATTTCATTCATTGACCTCCTATACTTTGGGCATGAGCCAATAGCCTGCCATATTGCCTGCCAGTCCTAGGAGTCTTCAGTGGCCTGCCATCTGGCCAGTCAAACTTTAATTCATTCACCTCTGCAGTCACAAGTCCGACCTGTTGACTTTATATTCATTCACTTCTGCAGTCACCAGCCTGTTGCCTTTCGGCAAGTCTTGGCTCATCAACCTCCATAGCTAAGTGAATCAGAAGAAGTTTCCCATCTAACTCACAGACTTGAACCTTCCCAGACTTAGATTTACCTACTTTTGCAGCTGCAAATATAAATTTCTTTCTAGACACGAATATACAAGGTTCGCTGGTTTTGCCTCTCTAAAGAACCCAGCCTAAGACACTGTTATTTAGAGTGGAATAAGCTTTTCAGATGGGAGAAAGAGCTCTATGGCTGAAGTGATTCAGTGGAATTTAGAGCCCGAATGTCCCCATCTACTTTATTATCTGCCATCAGACCATATGCCAACCTGCCAACCTTCAGAGTCCCATATGTTCTCAATCCATGCCTCCACATTAACACCATTTGAAGGAGGAAATTCAATTGTTGTTGGCACTCTTATGATAAGTCTCTGCTTTTTTTTCCTTCCTCAATATCTGCACTATTACTAAAAAAAAAAAAATAAGGCATTCTTTCAGGACATTAGTAGAAATTTTGAGGCTCTTGAGCTGTGACTTCAAAGCCTTGAGCTCAGTTGTTTCCTTGACCATTTTGTCGAGAGCAAGTGGTAACAACCAACCAATCAGCTTCTCATCTGCTGAAATTGCAGAAAAATATCAAATACACAGTCACCCAGAATCTCAGTTTTCACCCAGACCGACTATAGCAGCTGTTGCAGCAATGGTAATTCCTTTTTTTTAAAGTAGTGCTCTTGATAAAGTATTCACATTTCATACACTTCCATAGTTAAATGGCCTTTAAAAGGAGTTGTATATACATATCACAATCCTAATCAGCTCCCTCCCCTCCCACATTCATTATTGGCTCCCCATATTCCCTCACCTCCCAGCCCCTACCTCCACATGCCCCTGATAAACCACTGCCTCGATTGTTGTTTCTATGCATCCACTCCTCTGTGCTTCACAAACTGGGAAAGCCAACAGCACTAACAACAATCAAAAACAAACAAAAATTCAAGAAGAAAATAATAGTAACATTAAGATAAAAATAAAAGTAAAGTGTAAGAAAGAAAAGATCACCATCAGCATTGAAAAAACCCAGAAAAGAAATTTCTGTTGTGGAACAAGTGAAAAATATTTGAGCCTAGAACAAATGCAGGTTGGGTCAAGAGGGAGGTTGTCTGACCAAGTATCATATTCTACCATGGTTCGATCCACCATAATCAAGTTTACCATAACCTCTGTCTGATAGTAAAGCTGTTCGAGTGTCTTACCTGCAGCTAGAAAGGATCTGCCAGAGGCTTAATCAGATTAGATACTGTGCAGATGGATTTTTGGCTCCCACGGTCCTCCACAGACGTCTACAAATTGGGTGTTCACAATTTAAGCTCTGGTACTTTTTCCTTCATCATTTTTGGATTTTGTTATTGTTATCTTTGGATCACACAGGCTGGTGTGCTTCTTCAACGTATTTAGTTAATAGTTCACTTTGATGGCGGCATGTTTGAACATAGGCCTTTAAGACCTCAGACACTATCCCAATTGATAGCTGGACACCATCTGCTTTCTTCACTGCACTTTTCTGAAGCACCCTCATCTTCAGTGATCTCTTAATGAAGGTGAATACTGAGCAGGGCTATGTGATAAGGATTAACTGTTCGTGGACTGGGGAGAGAATTAAATGGTACCCTAGAATCTATCTGCTTGTCCACGGGTTATTGTAAGCATAAAACATGGCAGTTATTTTTTAGTAGAATTTATTTGCATGTATCCAAATTTAAAATGACATAATGTGACTAAGAGATGCTGGTTCTAAGAATTTATCCTGCAGAAATATTCATACAAAAATTAAAGATGAGGATGGATATTTTTACTGCAGTAAAAAAAAAAAGAAGATACCAAATTTAAATTCTGATAGAGATAAATTTTACTTAAACTACGGTGTATTTGTATTATGGAATATATCTATTGTCCCCTGCTTTTAGAGGGTTCTTCATTTATTTTTATCACTTAAGTGTTTATAAAAGGAAATTTTGATTTATTTTGACTAGTGAAATTATTTTGAAAATTGCAAGCTAAAATGGACAGCTTGAAAGAACCAATCAATGCTTTCCTTATGATATCAATTGGAACCCTGATGACACTGTCGTAAGCTAACCACAAGGTTGGCAGTTCAAATCTACCAACCGCGTCACTGTTGAAAGATGAGGCCTTCTGGTCCTACAGATTTACAGCCTTGAACACCCTGTGTGGTATTGCTATGTGTCAGAATTGACTTGAAGGCAGTGGGTTTATTAGTTATTTTTCTTATTATGATAATAAAAAGGCTGCATTCCAGTTTTAGACCATTGTTAGTGTTTAATAGAAAGCTCTGGACGTCTTTCTTACCTGCAATGAACGACCATAGGCGTGGTGTCGTGTGCTCGACTTGCTCGAATCAATTTCACAAAGTGAATTAGTGGGGTGCTGTTTTCAGGAACCCCATGCTCAGGCCAAGCAGTAAAATTACACTGTCGAACAGTCATACAATCCCCATGCTAGACAAAGTGGCAGATTAAAGAAACACGTTAAAGCTATGTGAATATAAAAGTAAAGGTTAAAGACAGTTTATGGCCTAGATTTTGAAAGTGGTCTTTCAAAAAAAGGTCTGCTTACCAAAATGAGTTTTTACTATTTAGGGAAATCTTACATTACTGTTACAATAAAAACACGCCCCTTTCAATAAGAATGGGAGCCATAAACAACATTTACAGACAGATGTAAATACAGAGTATCAGCATTCAAAATGTAGCGCACCAGAGGAAGCTCTCAGAAGTTGGCTCAAAACTTTAATAAACACATTCACTAATAATTCAAAACACAGATATTGACTATCTGATGGGTCAAAAAATTTAAAGATTCTTATATTATTTCCTGTATATACTGGCATTTAAGTAAATTTAAAAGTGATATCTCACACTCTCTTCTCTATTGGTTTTTTATTAAATAGAAAACCAATGTACTAGGAACCAGACAGAAGAAGTAACTTAAAAATTTTCAATCTTTAGTTAAATATTATAGTTTATTATCAATGTCCTTTTTTTGTCATTTGTCATTTTGCCAGTTTATTTAGAAATGTCCTTATAGGAATTGTCATTTTAAACATTAACCATGTGATTTGGGATCGAAAAATGGTGATCTAGACACTGAATCCCAGAGGAATTTAGAAGTCCTGCTAAGAAATGAATAGAAATGAAGCCTTGGATTTAGATATTGGTGCAAAAGAAAATTCTAAAATCAACTAGACAAGCTTCAGACATTTCGGCGCCATATTTTTCTATCAGGTTTCCTGTTTTATTTACCTTTTCAATTTTCAGATCCCTGATGGTCCAATCTATTTGGACATCCTCCATTAGCTTCGTTATCACTATGTCTCCAAAGACTGTAACCGGTTTGTTGTCCTCCGGCCAGTACTGGTGGCATCTGATCTGCATTTGGAGGAAATCAGTAGTTGTGAGAGCCATTGGTATACTGATGCATGTGGGGGCATTAAAATGTTTGTGGTTTGTATTGTTTTATTTGGTGTTTGTTTGTTCATATCAGGGTGCCTCTCGGAGGTGTCAGGTCATTAGAGGTCACCCTCTTGAAGTTGTGGTACATGTTTTTCCATTTTTTGATATATGAAACACAGAATTGATGGACCTATAGAGGCAGCAAGTAGAATAAGGGGTGCGGGGGAGGGGGGCACGGTGGTGGAGGGAGGGGGCGAAGGGGAGACGATGATGAGGAGCCAGTGGAGAGAAAGAATGTCTGGAAACTGATGGCGGTGGTAATTGTACAATTCTCCATGACATGACTGAACTATGGATTGATATGCTATATATTTAATAAATAATAATAAAAGTTTGTAGAAAAATTCCATTATCTTTCTATTCCATGTTTCACAAACTTTTTGAAGTCTCCTCATACATCCTAGATATTGCTACTAATTAAAACAGTTATCCCAGCTATTGATTGCTCATAGTAATGGCTGGAATATTAACACTCAACTGTAAAATAACACTTTGTGGAAGGATTATAAAGCAACTTACCCGCCCTTTTTCAAAACACTGTGTTAACATGACTAATGTTTTTGCTCTTGTTTCCCACACCATTCTCCAAAAATCTCCAACCGTTCCTGGTAGTGGACCTTGAGTAGCAATGAATTCATTTGGACATAAATAGCCCTAGGGAAATATGATCAATTATACGACATCAATATTTACATAGACATACTACACAGTTATCTTTTAAATAAAACAGTAAATGCTATTTCATTTTTCAAGAATGAACAAACCTCAAAGTCACTGTTACTGAGTCCACTCAAATTCACAGGGACACAGTGGGCTATAAAACAGTTACCCTAAATCAAGTGCTCATTTATGGCAGGCACTATGCTAAACATTTTAGATTAATTATTTTAATTAATTTATTTCTCACAAAACTTATGAGAAATACCACTATTATCTTTATTTTACCGATGAAGCTACTGAAGCTTACAGATGTGGAGTGACTTGCTAACAGCCTCACATTTGCTAAGATAGTGTAAAGTCATCACCTACTCTTTTCCATTATTTGACTATATTGTTGTCATGTTTTATGAGTTATTCAGATATTTTCATAATATCTCTCTAAGATATTACCTATCTACTTAAATGGTTCTGTTAGTATTTATCAAACAAGGACAATATGAAATAAAATAGGAAGACCCATTTTGCTCGTATACTTCCTTCACTTAGCTGGGATGTAAGCATACAACTTGAGGGTTACACTGTTGAGAGAAATGTTTCTGGGTTTCTTACCGCACTGTCACTGTGTTAATAGACTCACAGAGACCCTACAGGAGAGGGTGGAACTACCCCTGTGAGTTTCCTCCTGGGAGCAGAAAGCCCAGTCTTTCTTCCACAGAGTGGCTGGTGTTTTCAAATGGCTGACCTTGCAGCTGGCAGCCCAACGAGTAACCACTACACCACCAGGGCTCCCATGTTGACTATATTAGGTAAAGTTATTTTATATCTATTTCAAACAACAATATAGGTTAAGACAGGGGAACTAAAGAAAAAATATTACAAAGTGGAATCGTGTTAGTAATGAGACAATGTAGTAATGTGCATGAATAATATACAATCTAAGTATTAATGCATGTCTTCAAATTGGAAACAGAATGCATAAAGATCATTTCAGTCCATTAGTGAATTGAAGTGGACTGGTGTTGGCCATTGTGAATCAGACAGTCACATGGTTTACTATGCCAGGAATGGCATATTCAAGAGGAATGGTGTTGTGTTGAGCCAAGGACATCTCCCGGTCTATCTTGAAGTACAACACTTTGTCAGAGGACACACATGGAAGTACAGTCAACACAACTGTTATTCAAATGTAGGCATCAACCACTAAAGCTAGTGAAGAAAACACTGAAGAATGTTACCAACTTCTTCAGTTTGAAGTTGATCAAACATGCAATCAAGATGCCTTAATAATTATTGAGACTGGAATACAGAAGTTGGAAACAAAGAGAAAGGAACAATATAATCTTCAGAATTCATTTGGTAGCTTTCATAATTATATGAGATGCACACAAAAAACCCATTAAGGTCAGGTACAACTTAGCTTTAAAAATGTCATTTTTGTATTTTAATCCTTCAAAAATCCTTTGGAGCAGGCTTGTCCGTGCAATATGTAACCTTGACATCTTGACTGTTGCTTCCATGAGTGTTGACTGTGAATCAAGAAATCTTAAAAATGTCAATATTTTCTACGTTTAACATGATGTTGCTATTGGTTCAGTTGGGAACATTTTTTTCTTTGCATTGAGATGCAATCCATACTCCAGGGGAAATCCTTTGAGCTTTATCAGTAAGCACTCTTCCTGGTCTGCAAACAAGGCTGTATCATCTGCATATTGCAGGCTGTTACAATATCCTTGTCCTGAAGTGGCATTCTTCTTCAAACTGTCCACTTTATCGGATAGTTGATCATCATACAGATTGAATTAATGTAGCAAAAGGATACAACCCAATCCTGCATAAGCACAATTAAGTGTTCTGAAATTCCCATGCTTTGCAATGTTATCCATAGCTTGTCATGTTTCACATAGTGAATTGCTGTGCACACACAGTCAAACACAAGCACCCCATTCAGGTATCATCTGCTTTCAGCCAAGATCCATCTGATAGCAGCAATGGTATCTTTTGTCCTGACAGCGCCTTGAACATATACCCCTGCAACCATTTGAAAATTATTTCGGTAAAATTTTACTTGCATGAGATATTATTGATATTGTTCAATAATTTCTGCATTCTATGGAAACTACTTTCTTTGGAATGGACCCAAAAAATAGATCTTCAAGGTTATTTGGCCACGTAGCTGTCATTCAAAGTTCCTGGTATAGACAAGTAAGTGCTACAAGCATTACATCCATTTGTTAAAACACCTCAATTGGCCTTCCATAAATTCCCAGAGCCTTGTTTTTGGCAATGCCTTCAGCGTAGCAGGAACTTCTTTGCTCATAAGCCACTTCCTGAAATGGCTGAACATTTACCAGGTTGTTTTTTTTCCGGGGTGGGGGCATAATGTCTCTGTGTTCTTTCATCATCTCTTATTCCTTCCTGGATTGTTTAATATTTTACACATAGAATACTTCAGTATCACAACTCAAGGTTTGATTCGGCTCCCTGCCCATCACACCCGCCATGCCCCCCACTTCTTTCAACTTGAGGCCTGCTGGCGTGCTCTTCCTTTTGGGTTCTCCCTTCAGGTCTTCGCACAGTTGATTGTAATCACGTACCCCATCTTCTCCGACAGCTCTTTCACAGCGTCTGTCCAGCTCTGTCCTTGGTTGCTCCTTCCGTTCGAGGGAAGCACCATCTGCTTCAGAGACTATTCTCTCACTAGCTGTGGTCTTCGTCTTGTTCTTGTCGTTCAATGACCTCCTGCGTTCTTTCGGGAGGAAGATGAGGCTTTGTTTGTCCTCCCTCAGTGTGGCATCTCAGGAACACCCGAGCCAGTCCTCGGTGCCGTAGCATTTCCAGGAGTCAGGAGAGGCTCAGTGGCAGTGAGTTTGTTTTTGTGTTTTGCTTTCTTTATGTGCGATGCCCTGGAGATAATCTCACAGCTCCTCCCATCTCTGGTTTGATGCATAGAATTGATTTTGTTCCACGTGTCAAATTTATTTTTGAGATTGCCTTTAAATTCCGGTGAGACAGACTCAGTGTTTTAAATTACCTCTTGTCAATTTGTTTTAATTTTTCCAACTTCATATGAACAATTAATTGATGATCTGTTCCACAATTGGCCTCTAGCTGGTTCTAACTGCTGACTGCTGATTATGAACTGGTGTTTTGTGATATAGTTCATTTGAGTCCTGTGTCTTCCACCTGGTGAAGACCATGTGTATAGTCACCATTTATGATGCTGAAAGGAGCATTTGCAATGAATAAATGATTGGTCTTTCAAAATCCTATCATGTAATCTCCAGCGTCATTTTTATCTTCTTGAGTCATATTTTCCAAAACCATTATTTTCCAACTGCCAAAACTTCTCCCTGCCCCCAACTTTTGAATTCCAATCACCAGTAATTATCAATGAATTTTTTAATCAATGAATAGTTATTGCATGTTTGATTGATTCTTGACTGCAGAAGTTGGTAAAAATATTCAATTTATTCAACATTTACACCAATTGTTTGCTTGAATAATAGTCATATGAACATATCTTCTTTGTAGACATATAGATATCACCTTATGACAATATTTTATTTCAGAATAGATCATTGAATTTTAAGAAGGTATTAACAGTGTCTATTATAAATGATGTACAAGACTAAAATACTCTGGTTTTTATTTACTGCATTATAATGGTGTATACCTTTGATAAGGCCTCTTAAATTGAACTACTCCTCACTTCCCCAGTTATAAATCAAAGACTAATTAGCTCCTGTATATGCCAGAGAGGACTCTTTAGGAAACAGTGAATGTACAATTGCTTTAGGACTTTTTTTTTGCTTTAGAACTCTTGATGTGTTATATAAATGTAAAAATGTTGTTAAAAATAACATGAATCTTTTTACATTAAAATTATACATATTTAAAAAATTATACATATTATACAGTAGTTAAAAGCATTCCAATGCCTACCATTATCCTTGACCAGTTTTTATTTATTTATATATATAATAAAATAGGCTTATCTCTAGAGGAAAAAAGTGCAGTTTGTAGCTTGTGCTTAATTCAATAACCACTGTCAATTGCTTTTATTATGCAAAAGAAAATGTGTCAAACATTGATGAAGATGTTTACATCTAAGATGCTTTTGTTGTTGAATGCAATCAAGTTAGTTTGAATTTAGAGAGAACTCATGTATTTCTCTATCTATCTACATGTGTGTATTAACATGTATATGTATGTACATATGGACATATACATACGTAGACATATAGATGTCTAAAGAGTGAGATGTTTTCTTTCTTATTTTAGCACCAGCAAGCTTAGAGTGCCGTTGGGGACATAGGCTCCTAAACTCTGTAACCCTGTATCTTAAACTTTAGCTTTACGTAAACTCTTTATCTTAAACTATTTCCAATGACTTAATGTTCTTCTGAGGGGTGTTTACAAAGCTGCTTTCCTGGTATGCTATTATATTTGCATGTTAGGGTTCTCATGGCATATCAAATGTCTAAAAATCATGAATATAAAAATCTCTACTCTTAAGGAACTTTGATAAGAAGACATACACATTTATTTTCATATAGGCCCCAACACTTTAGCCTCTCCCTCACAGAGCAGAAGGAATTAGAATGCAATTCTAAGCAATGAGAATGTGACCAGGAGCCCTGGCGGTGCCGTGGTACCTGTGGGGCGGCAGTTGGCACGGCTGGCAGCTGCAGATCACCAGCAGCTCCCAGGAGAAAACGGGCTTTCTCCTCCTGCACAGTTACAGTCCCAGAAGCCCGCACGGGTCACTACGGTCAGCCCTGACTCAACGGCAATGAATTTGGTTCTTGGTTATGCTACATATACAAAATGTGGAATGACTAAACAGGAGATGACAATTCATCTAAATTGATTGGCTTATAAAGTATTTCTCCTGGTCGTTTGCATCTCATATTTTCAGGGACTCAAAGCTTTTGTTAGCATAATCACCTGTCAAAATGGGAACAAATATGACATTGCTGATGCTACAACAACTCATTTTCATGTTTTCCTTTAATGTCTATTTATGATAAAAGCTCTGCTCCAGTTATAATAACTTTAGTTATCGATGATGACATGCGTGTTGGGCTGCAATCCCCGTGGTCTGCAGGTCCCTGGGAGAAATACTGGTCTTTTCTCTCTGGCACACAGTAACCGTCTGGGCGGGCCAGAGTCGTTCTCTGCGTTAGCACAGCCTAGCTGGCAGTGAGCTTGTTGGGTTGAGGTTGACAGGAGAAATAATAATGAGGTTTGGGTATACTCCTCTTGCCCATAAAATAAAATTCTGGGCTCTCTTAATAACATTTCTGAACAAATTTTACAGTTAGTAAGAATTTACTAGAATGTACTACCTTTCCCTCATTTCATTTCTTCTTCATTCTATCACAAACTTTCCCATAGTTACCTGAGTCTGAACACGAGCTTGATGCATTCACCTAGTCCTGGATTCGGATCCTGGCATTGTCCCAGTTTTAACACCCTCCCTGTCCCACACCACTTTCTCACATTTCCAACTGAGCTCTAGTTAATTTGCTTTCTTCCTTAACGCCATTAATAGTTTGCTTGCCCTTTCTCTTCGGTTCCAAAGAAATAGGATTCCATATTTCAGGGATAATTTGTTTCTGTATTTGCTACCAGTGCATGAGTTGCTTCAGACTGATATGTCCTAAAACAAAACTAGACATGGGAAGGCTTTGAGGGATCAGATCTTCATTCTGAGCTGAAAACGGCCTGACATTAAAGACCAAAGGTGAAGGCCCCTGTGATATGAAGACTTTATATATTCCCGTCCCTGACTGGCATCCTCAACAAAGCTGTCCCCCTAAGATGTACGAGCAAAACAACACGCCTTAAAGTGGATTTCTGAAACCTGCCTTAAAGTGGATTTCATCTGAGTCTGCTTACTTTGCAGCTCAGTCATAATTACGCATGACTTACTTATGATTTTGTTGTATGATTTATTATATTATAGCATTGCTTGATTACAGCAGGATCTATAGCTTCAGATGCCTAGCTTATTGCTCACACTGCACTGCACTCTTCACAGGTCATGTCCTAACGACCTATAATCGTGAGCGGGAACACTGGGAGTTCACGAATATTTCTTTACTTATATGATCTCTGTAGCTCAGCTAATATTTCTTTACTTATATGATCTCTGTAGCTCAGCTAAGCCTCTGACTTTTCCCTAACAACATTACTGCCATCTCATATCTGGTGGGGCACTAGAGCTGTGAGCTATGATACAAAGCACCAGGTCACAAATATAACCACTTCTCTTTTGTTTTGTTCAACAGCTTATCAATACACATGGTTATTAGAGCAATGAATAAATGTAAGTATCCAAATGCATAAGTAGATCACATATAAGTCAAAATCCAATTTCAACATATTGTTACATTTAGGCTACAATGAAAATGAGCAAACATATGATTTCTTTAACATATATAAAGATGAATTAACATTTTAAAGGTAAGCATATGATAAATGAATAAAATATGCTACGAAAATAAAAAAAAATCAATTTGATTCTTTCAGTTTTAGAACACTTATGAAATTCAAAGAATGGCCTGACTTCCCCCAAACTTTCCTCATATCCTCTCTTAAGATGTCTTCAATTCTCCCTTATGCACTACTTTGACATAAGAACCAATTTTGAAGTGTATGTCAAAAACGGCACAATTTTGAAGCCATTGTCAAATAATGCACAATTGAGAGTGAAGTAATTTTTATATTTATCTCCTTTGCCAAGGTTTTGAGGCAATGAAAAACTAAACAGGCATGTTTGGGAAAAGGATGGAGACTCACATACAAGCCACAATGACACTGAAGAAAATGGCCATCCTGTTAGAGAAGAAAAATCTAAAAGACATTTGGGAGGATGAGCAATAAATAAAGTTGTTGCCTCAGAAGGTAGAGGTTGGCACACTCCAGGTGAGGCTATCAGCCTCATCCATCAGGCATATTTGAGAGAGTTCCGGGGAAAACAGAGTGAATGACTTGAGTGCTCAGAAGGTGTCCATGTACCTAGGCTACTGATGAGTCTCTGGGAAGACAAACTAGTTCATCACTTGTTGGGCAGTTCAAATCCACCCAGAGGTATCTCTGTGAAGTTTAAAAAAAAATTTTTTTTTTATGGTAGCAAAGGAAAGTCATTGGTGATTTATTTATTTTTGTATAATTTAATTTTTAAAAATCTTTTTATTAGGGGCTCATACAACTCTTTATCACAATCCATACATACATCAATTGTGTAAAGCACATTTGCACATTCATTGCCCTCATCATTCTCAAAACATTTGCTCTCCACTTAAGCCCCTGGCATTAGGTCATTTTCCCCTCCCTCCCCACTCCCCCCTCCCTCCTGAGCCCTTGATAATTTATAAATTATTATTTTGTCATATCTTGCCCTGTCCGATGTCTCCCTTCACCCACTTTTCTGTTGTCCTTCCCCCAGGGAGGAGGTCACATATAGATCCTTGTAATCCGTTCCCACTTTCCAACCCACTCTCCCTCTATGCTCCCAGTATCGCCACGCACACCACTGGTCCTGAAGGGATCATCCACCCTGGATTTCCTGTGTTTCCAGTTCCTATCTGTACCAGTGTACACCCTCTAGTCTAGCCAGACTTGCAAGGTCGAATTCAAATCATGATAGTGGGGGGCAGAGGAAGCATTTAGGAACTAGGGGAAAGTTGTATGTTTCATCGTTGCTACATCACACCCTGACTGGGTCATCTCTTCCCCAAGAACCCTCTGTAAGGGGATGTCCAGTGGCCTATAAATGGGCTTTGGGTCTCTACTCTGCACTCCCCCCCTCATTCACTATGATATGATTTTTTTGTTCTGATGATGCCTGATATCTGTTCCCTTCGACACCTCATGACCGCACAGGCTGGTGTGCTTCTTCCATGTGGGCTTTGTTGCTTCTGAGCTAGATGGCCACTTGTTTACCTTCAAGCCTTTAAGACCCCAGATGCTATATCTTTTGATAGCTGGGCACCATCAGCTTTCTTCACCACATTTGCTTATGTACCTATTTGTCTTCAGTGATCGTATCATGGAGGTGAGCACACAATGCTATGATTTTTCATTCTTTGATGCCTGATAACTGATCCCTTCAGCAGCTCGTGATCACACAGGCTGTTGTGCTTTTTCTATGTGGGCTTTGTTGCTTCTGAGCTAGATGGCTGCTTGTTTATCTTCAAGCCTTTAAGACCCTAGACGCTATATACTTTGATAGCCGGGCACCATCAGCTTTCTTCATCACATTTGCTTATTCACCCACTTTGTCTTCAGTGGTTGTGTTGGGAAGGTGAGCATCATAAAATGCCAATTTAATAGAAGAAAGTATCCTTGCATCGAGGGAGTACTTGAGTGGAGGCCTGTCATTGGTGATTTAGAGATAAAATTCTTGATTTCCATATGGGAGACTTTGTTTGGTTCCTGACCAATGCACCTTGTGCACTGTCTCTGCCATCTGTCCGTGGAAGCTTGCATGTTGTTATTCTAGGATGGTTTCAGTGGAGCTTCCGCACTAAGTCAGATGCTGAAGACCTGTCTGGTGATGTACTTCTGAACACCAGCTAATAAAAGTCGGACGTCTCAAAACAGCCTGTTCTGTAACCAATAATGGGCACAGGGCAGGACTCGGTAGCGTGTCATGGGTTTGGCATGTGTTGCAGCTAACAGCAACAAGAATATAGCAGTAATGAAAGGGGGGAGGGCAAACAATTTAGTTTATTTAATTCTCAATTAATCTCAATATTTACATACTATGTATGATGTGCAAGGTAGTACACTAGACATGCCACTATTCCTCTGGTTGTTTCATTGAAGATATGTTTATTGATAGCTATAATAGAATGCATATTCTTCACATCATTGGGAACAGGGGAAAAAATAGAAAGCCAAATTTGTCCCCAAGGACCACAAACCTGGAGAGCATAATGCATGTGTGCACTGTATGAACACGATGGTCTATTTGACTAATTTTTGGAGAGATTAGCTGACTGTATGAACACGATGGTCTATTTGACTAATTTTTGGAGAGATTAGCTGACTGCGTTCTCTGCAGAGATTACACTGGCATTGAAAATGGATGTGAGTTAGTAAAGGACCAAGAAGTATGAACTTTAAAGTTGCAAGCCTGCTACTTTCTCATTAAATTCTTGTTTCAAGTTATAAACTCTGTTAAGAGTCCATTAACCCAGGTCTAACATACAAGTACAGAGAACTGAAACTGGCACATGAAGATTCATGCAGGTTGTCATGCATTTGCTGGTTTAAGTATGATCAAAAGTAATACAATGAACTCTTTACTCTCATAACAAATTATATATATATATATATATAAATAGATCATAACTTACAGAAACATAGCTGGCATTGATATAGTCTGATCCTGGGATGCTTGCATCAGCTACCAGTTTCACTCTGTTATTATTATCTAGAAGGAAATATAAGGAATCACTTTTAAATTGCCACTGCATTCTATTATAAAGGTAATTCCAAGAATATACTACCACAATCCAGTATTACAGATAGAAGTAAAGTTAAAGTAGAATATCCCAATTATTCCACAATTTCCTACCCAGAGATAATAATTAAGAAGGCCTGAAGTGTAGTTCCAGAACTTTTAGGACAACAAACAGTACTGATTTTCGACCATTTCAGCTTCCTTTCTTGCTCCAGAGCACCACTTTTATCAGACGCTAGACAGCACAGTTAACTTTCATTCTGATTGTTTCCATGTATCCGACCTTAATTCCCTTTATTTGGCTAGTCTCTATTCATAGTCAAACTTTCAATCATTGCATTCTAGAATATTTTAAGATCTGGAAAACTTATGTGTCCCCTACCCATTATTTTTGTCTTTTAATAAAATATGTCAAATTGCTTTTTCCAGAGACTTTTTACTGTATTAGTACCATAATTCAAATGCATGGTATTGGTTTTAACTATACACAGAAGTGACATACAATACCTATCACTGCTCAGCTATTTTAAAGGTGTTCTTTTTAAAGTATTTTTTAAACTTTAATGCAAAGATATTAAATGGTGTAGAAAATGAGTAAATGGGATTAGGGTTTCTTTTTTAAATTTTTCATTAAAATATTTTATTAGGGACTCTTACAGATCTTATAACTATCCATACATCAATTGTATCAAGCATATTTGTACATATGCTGCCATCATTATTTTCTAAACATTTACTTTCTAATTGATTCCTTTGTATCAGCTCCTCTTTTTTCCCTCCCTGTGCTCTTCCCACCCTCATGACCCCTTGATAAGTTATAAATTATTATTATTTTCATATCTTCCACCGACCACAGTCTTATTGGGAATTTAGAGTTTAAATGATTGTTCCCTATATACACTTTAAGTGAATTGCTTCAAATTTTCCTCAGTTTCTTTGACTATAAAATGCAGTTATAATATTTACTTTATAGGATACTCATGAGGAAAACATTAATTTCCTTTAAGAAACCTCATAGCAAATACTCAATATATATTAGTGTTTCATGGTCTCAAACCCAACAATTATGTTAAAATGAATTATCGTTCTTGTTAATAATAACAATTGCCTGGTCCAATATTCTAGAATCGAGAGAGGGTAGGTTTAAGCAAAATGTTTACAAATGATTGATGCCCCTAATATTATAATTTTTGGATGGCACTGTAAGCTATTTCAATGACATTGTAGCTAGTCCTACAACTAAGGAAGGGCAACCGTCACGTTTGCATTCACTTGATATGCCTTCTTATAATTATTTGAGTCTACAACAAGCTAAACTTTTCTTCATGGTGTTGGAACATTTCTGAAGGTCATCGAGTTTCCCGTCAAACGGAGATTTGGAAATCTCCTCTGCAAGCATTTGCTGCTAATTCTAGTGTCTTAAAACCCTGTAAGCCAATATCTTCTAAAATGCACGGTGATATTTAAATCCGACTTCCTACATTACTCAGGGGAAACAATGCACTTCACTTAGCTGGCTCTGACTAAAATCCAGACTCTAGTAAAATGAATTCATGCTCTATGGGAAAATAAAAATGTGTTTTTTTCAGTTTATGGGTTCTCTGCCAACACATTGGGAGGACGTACTTAGTCTAAACATTAGAATTTTTTCCCCCCTCTATGAAGGTGAGAGAGAGAGAGAAAGGGGAAGGGCCTTTTAATAGCCCTCGACTTTACAGCTTGGTTTCTAACCTAGGTTAGGAAAGTGGACGTGCTATCCTGAAATTGCAAACCTTGAGTTGGTGACTGATCTTTTTTATGCAGAAAGTGATCAGCCTTTAAAAGTAAATGATCTAGTGACTCCAATTATAATTAAAACTAGCATTTATTGAATGCTTTCTGTCTTCCAGTGTTGAACTACGTGATTGACAGGACTGTTGCATCTAATCTTTGTAATAATTTTATATTGTAGAGACCACTGAATGATATGGCCAGGGTGACCAAAGCGGAGAAAGCCCTAGATGGTACACAAGGTAAATACATTGGCTAATAATTGCAAGTTCGGCAATGGAGAGCCTACAAAGAAGAACTTCAGAAGAAATGCCTGGTGATCCACTTCCAAAAAATAAACGTTGAAAACCCTAAGGACGATATTGCTATTCTGACACGGCAGAGGCCATTCTGAGCAGGAATCTACGCCATGGTCATAGGTACCGACGTGGTTACATTCGATGCTGAGCCCTGAGCCTTGATAGTACCTACACTCTCCAGATGTGATTACACAGCAGGCAGTTATTCGTTGAATTAATAAATGACACTACTAATAACATTCTTTAAGCGTAGATGTTTATGTCTCATCAAGACATCTTTTATAGGATCACAGAGGCAATTTCAGATGACTGTGAGGAAAACACTCTCCCTACAAATCTATTCACAGATATTGGATGTAGATGGAATATATCATTTTATAAACTACTAAAATTTCTTCTATAATCTAGAATGTTAACTTATGTTGTCAATCTCAGCTGTAAAGAGATAAGATGACCACAATTATCAGCTTTAGCTGTGGCTTTTAATGGCTGTTTATCTCCATTGATAGCTCTCATTCTCTTTCCATCCTATGTTAAATAATACACAAACCTTATGGAATCATATAAAATATATTTATTCTATTATACATATAAAATATGTCAAAGGTATTCCCATGACATAAAGGACCAATGGGTGTCTAATTTAAAATACATAAAAGATTGAGAACTTAGGTAATGGTAAATATGACTTCTATTTCTTTCATTGTTGAAAACTAAAGGCACTTTTATCTGGATTCACATTAGATATCATGATAAATTACTTCAATGATATGGACAATTGTAACTAAGTACTACATATTCTATAGTAATTGTCCTTCAGTAATATATAGTTTATAGTATTCATTTTCACAGAGTACTATTGAGTAAGCAGGATGTAGAAACTTAGGAAGTTTACATCAGCAAACATGAGACATTCCCAAACTCTTAAACTTCTGATTCATTGAACTCGGGTTAACTCTATGGAAGGAAAATCAAAAGGGCATCAAGAAATGTCACGGTCTAAGACATTTAGAGACGCATCATTAACATTGAGTAATCCCATTATAATGTCTTATTTGTCATCTTGATTTTAAAGTTACTTACTTATGATTTGTCTTGTATTAGAAATGATTTTAAGTAGTTAAAGCTATTATTATTTGCATCCTTTTCCAGTTCTTCGGTATTAACGGGTTCCCTTAGTTTACTACCTCCTTCCTGTGTCCTGCTTCCCTAAAGCGGTTTCCCTCATGTATCTGACACTCATTCTAGAATGCCAGAACCTAGTCCAATTTCTTCCTACCCATATGTCATATATGATTTTATATTCTGTGACTATGTTTTTAAGTGCGTGTCTTCTTAGACACTGTACCTTTTTGAGAAATGCAGAACTCTCTCTAAAATCTTTTTTAAGAACAGAAATAAAGATAAATATGCTAATTAAAATTAAGACTATTGTAAAACTTCAGGTTTTGAAGCAATCAATAGACTTTTAGAACCTCAAAAATGTAATATCAATTCTCATTCTCTTTCCATCTATGTTATATGAGATATAAAATGTGTTAAACATATTCCTATGCCATAAGGACCATATAGCTATTAGTAATCAAGGAATTCCATGCTTTCCCATTCACATAAACATGATGGCTGAAAACCAAAAATGTTGTTTATTTCTTAGTGATGGAAAAATGAGAGTGTGTTTACTGTGGCAAGGCATTCCTGCCTCTTGTGGAAAGTACACATTTACTCTGATCTTCAATAGTGATTTTGCAATGCACTTTTTATATTCAGAACAAAGCAATGCTATAGTCTTAGGAGAAACTAATGTACAAGGCTATGTCCAATTTTACTTTTAATTTTGAAACTAAGTCTGAAGGAAATGTTAAAGAGGTTTGTTACTTGTGCCAAATTACAAAGGTAAGTAAACATTAAATCTAGATGGCCTTGCACCTACACAAGCCAGCTATGTGAACCATCCATATAACTTTAGTAACGATGAACAGAACAAAAGAGATACAACTCACAAGTTGCTGCTACTTAAGTAAACATGTAATAAAATGTATTCAAGAAAACACAAGGAATGTTACGAAGTATGTTGTGATCATTTGAAAACACTCCGCCATAAGGAACAATCAGCACACATACATGGTTTTATGTTTGGAAAGCGGTTTTTCGCTCTGTTCCAGGGGAGGTCAGCATCCGTTGAAGAGAGATCCTGAAGGAATTTTGGTAATTCCTGTGGAATAAAGTAATTGGACATTTTACATGAACAAGGTAATGGAAACAAGAGGTAAACAAGAAATTCCACTTAAAAGAGTTAACTTTTTTTTGGAGTTAACTTTTAAGTTGAAAATATAATTCATAACTCCCTAAACCAGTTCAAATGAATAGTATTGAGTTTATATGAACTCCCACCTTAGAAATTCATACTAAAGATTGTCAGTTGTACTAACACCTCCTTCTAAGAACATTTCTTTAAGCTCCAGAAAGCTCTATAATGTAGCAGCCATACAAACAGCATATGTTAAGGTTGGAAGCATTCGACACTAGTTAATATTTTATTCTCCACTCCATAGGAAGAGGCATTCAATGATTTATTTTTGTGTTTTTCTTCTGAGGCAGTTTGATTTCATGCCTATTAATTGGTACAACTTTGGCCAGTTTGTGAAGAAGCCACGGGTCACTTCCTGGTCTGAGTGTGCACTGTTAACTGAAAGAGGAATGCAAAGGTGTGGATAAGAATGATCAGATGCCGCTTGGAGGGTCAAGGGGTTTGATTTTTGACATTTGGGTGAAAATTCATTGTATCCATGTCTCTGACTGTTTCTAGTGTATCATGAAGAAGGCTAGTCCACGGTCACGTGACCCTTCTTTTGTTGAGTGGATCATCAACATTTGTAAATGTTGACAGCTTTCCATTTTAGAAATAAGTTCCACATTGCTGCCGTCTTTAAAAAGTGTTAAAAATGTGCGCTTCAGACTATTTTTCAACATCATTGGGTATTATTCTTTCAATTGGATAATTCTTTCCACCTTATTTTTTTCTCAAAAAGATAATCTGGGCAGTCATTTGCATGAGAGCAGGTGCTGGAAGAGGGGGACTATGGTTTCTGAATTCTGGTACGCTGGCACCAGAGGCTTAGGGGGGAAAACGTTTTGACCAGGTGCAGAGGTTTCCCGTCGTTAGGTATCTTGTGTCTGGGCTTTTGGAGGATGTGCCGCCCTATCTGTAAGAAAAAGACAAAAATAGAAGGGAAAGAAAGGAAGGTGACAGAGAAATGGACTGAAAGCTTGTATTTGTATTTTGTAGTTATTTTACACAAACGTTTCAGTTGTAGATTTAACTGACCTGGCCTGCATAGTTACTGCCAATGACCAGGTTAACTGTTTGGACGGGGTCACGTTACACTCGCAGTCTGATTCTGATCAGAGCTCAAAGCCCTCGGCGTCCCTCTCATCACAGCCGGGGGTTCTGCTATTTCCTCTCCGTTTAGTGGAATCACACATAAATTGGTCCAGTTTGCACGCTCGTGCTTCCACAACCTCTGGCTTTTGCTGGAGTACTTTTCTGCCTTTTCTACTTGTTGGATTTCTGCTCATCCTAACGTGCGACTCAACAGGCATCCTTTTGCTGTCATCGTTCCTGACACCTCTTCACAACAGAAGTGACTGTCACTTCTGAATGCATATCCCAACCTGGGTCCCGGTGCCCAGGGCGTTCGTTATTTTCTAGACGTGAATACACTGCCAATAATCCTATGGGCTTCTTTCAGGGCAAGCACCAATTTCATCATAGCTAATCACGAAACACAGAGCACTTTATGCTAGTTGTTTTTCTAGCCTTTGCATTTATTCAGTAGGTTTAATAGTCACTGCTCAGTGAGGTGGGTGCAATCATTTCACAAAGGAGAACACTGTGACACAGGGGCTTAAGTGATCTTTCTTAAGGCCATTTGTCCCGTACATACACAGGACACTGCTTATCACATGATGAAATTCATTGTCATAGAATCAACTCTGACTTCTAGCAACCCTACAGGGCAGAGTAGAACTTCTACCTAGACTTTCAGAGGCTCTGAATTGTTATGGACACAGGCTATGTCCTCCTAAGAACTGCTGGTGGATTAGAAATTCCCACCTGTGGGATCCTGCACCTCTGTCCACTGTGCAAACCAGTGTATCACCAGAGTGCTCTGTCACTGAAAAAAATGCTGATCGTGGTTTAAGATGTAAGTGAACAGGACCTAAGCATAAGGATTACCCAATATAGGCATCAAATATGCACTTTTCTATGAAGATATAGCTATTTTACTTAAAACTACTTAGTAAAGCATTAGGATAGAATGACTTTTAGAAAAGCTTTTAAAACCATGGTCTCAAAAGTTAGTTAAAACAGAAACTTTCTCAGTATAATAAAGAACATGTAAAATGCTATTGCTAACAAAATTTTTCATCCACTCAGTCATGCATAATGTAATTATATTTGCTCCAATTCTAGTGAAATTTTTACACGTTTGGTCCTGAAAAGTTGAACGAGTTCACTGTATAAATGCTAAGAAGAATTTCATGGCACCATTAGAAGCATAACCAACGAGCTGTAGGAACTACCATTAATCTTCTCAGATTTGGGTTATTATTCCCCAAGAGAATGAAATATTATCAACTTGAATTTTGAAAGCCGGTTGTTTCTTTGTTTCATAAATTCATAAACTAAGGGTTTCATGAATAGCATATTTTTGTAACATTCAGAAACTTATTTTGTTTTCATAATATAATCTAAATGTGGTAAAATGCTTAAAATTGGTTAAAAGTCTCTAAAATACCTTACAGATATTATATCTACCTTATTATTTCAAAATAGCTTCCATTTTATAGATATAAACTCCTAAACAATAAAGTTAGTCTAAATTTTTAAAAAATGTTTTAAAAGGACAGCTTCTTAATTTGATATATTCTCCATAATATAATATAGCACTTATTCCATTTTAACTTAAAATTAGGCATCTGAAAGGCTGCGTGCTCTTTAACTTGAATTTTTGTTCATTATAGAAACATACACTTTGTTTCTGAAAATATCAAGTTCTGTCCTCAAATTTACCTATATCGCAACATAAGTTAGACAATTTAGCATCCGCATGTGAGGCAATCCTTAAAACTCTAAGACTGCATTTACAATCTGACTCAACACTGACATCTAAGGAAGCAGCACTCTGGATGTGCGGCTATTTCCGGACGGTGAGCAAAGAAAGAGGGCCCGGCTGCCGTTGCTGGGGAGGTCTGCGGACGAGCAGCTTTCCTGACACCGTGGGTGAATCATTCCGATCATGTTGCACCAGAGGCCGCCCAGGGTAACATTACTATCCAAACAATCAACCTGGTAATTGGGTATTGATTATCAAGGCCAGAGTCCTTCATGGCCCTGCGTGTTTAAAATGGACATGAAATGTGACACATGAAACGACTGGAAGGCTTGCAATGTTGTGACAACTGCTAGTAACATACCGAAAATTCTTCTTGAAACTTTAGGTTGTTGTTTGTGCAAAGCTCTTCAACATGTTGCAGGAAGGACTTTTTGCTTATTGGCCTCCAAGGAGAGAATGGCAGAAAACAGAGTAGGGTTAAACGGTGCTCTTTTCCTTCAGCATGTGCACTGCCTGTATGATTAGCAAGTTAAAGAACAAAGGACATTGCAAAAGCCACACACAACATGGCCCTACAAAGCCACCCTGGTGAACTTGCAAAATTAGCATCTCTTCTTTAAGTTCTCGTGGTTCAACATTTCTTTCACTCTCTAAGTGATTTAAAATGAATAGTTTAACATTTTCAAGTAAATGGAAGGGCATAAAGTTATCATTGAATCCTCCAGCACGTCCTACCTCTTTGTCACACAGAAAACATTTTACACATTACAAGGTTTTAGAAGATATAAAACATTGCAGTGACCTCATCTCATAATGACATGGTTTTTAAACCCCAAGGAGGTTAAATATCCCCGTATTACTTCCCAAGCTAAAATACAGACATGCAGGCTTCACCCCAGAGAGAGAGAAAGCATTTCTCCAGTTACCATGCAATTGGTCATGCTTTTATGATTTATATCCCGCTTGGAGGTTTTTCTAACAAACACAGAAAAAAAGAGCCACACATTGAGATTCACCAAGTTGGTGGATCTCAGTCAATATTCAAAGAGAAGAAAAGTTATTTAACAAACTTACTTGATGGATTTTCTATAACTAAGTAACCTGCAACAGAGAGTGTGTTAAATGCACAGTGAGTGGAAGGGCACAACTCATTCGGAAAGGGTTCTACAATAAAATACGAAAAATATAATAGACCAGTAATGTTCTATGCCTTTAACTATTATTTGATTGTTATTTTATTTCATTATTTTGAAAGTCAGCTAATTTCAAACTGAATATGGCCAAATAATAATTAGTATGGGGCACTGCATTAACAACAGGCCTTTTTTTCACTAACATACTGTATAATATTCTGGGATCTAAAAAGGTTACTGTGGATTTAAAAATATATATTTTCTTTATCCATCCAGAATACCAAAATCAGATCATTGAAAAATGCCATCATATTGTCTATGTCTTGTTTTGTAGGTGAATTTGAATGAATACACAACTATGACAAAAACAGAATTATTTAAATTACTTTCAGCATACTTTTGTGACAGTTCATTGGTCAAGTTATATATACTCTGGAAAAATTGAAATAATTTTTACAGCAAAATAGGCTATGCAATACACACATATTTAGAAATGGGCACATTTTGATAGCACTTGTTTGTCATGCACAACAAATTAGCACTGCAAAAAAAACCACAAAAGGTAAAAAGTATAGTGAAATATAATGAAGGACAAACTTTTTATAAATTTAAAATTTTATTAGTATAGATAGTTTTCTGTTGTCTTTAGATAAGAATTACTATAAGACTGTGTTTCTGAAGTAAAGGATGACTGATAGAAATAAATAGGTTGGAAAATGGGACATAATGGATATTTTTATAAAAAATGTCCTGCAAGGTCTGTGTTACATGGGGAAAAGGAGAAAAGAGGAAATGTATTTAATAATACAGGAATTTGTTAAAAGTATGCTATGGTAAGTATAAGCAAACGGAATGAGAGGACTCCCATTAAGGTTGCCGGTGAACTCAAGCAGAAGACTTTCTCTCCTGGCTTCTCAAAATACACCTGGCAGAGCAGCCGCCATCAAACAAGGGTCCTTGGTGAGACTATAAAGTAGCATTGATATGACCAGCACAACTCGAGAGAACAATTCTTAGAAGGCAATACAGAAAGCCTGATGCTAACAAGATGGACATGAATCTGAAGAATTATTGAATGTGACGAATTCTTGATTTTGTGGTTGGAAGATAAATACAGTGGCTAAAAATTGGGGGTCCTGGAAGTACCTTTAAATCAGTAATAGAGGTAGATGGGATCGAGGCAATCAATCCTTGCTGCTATGAACTAGTCCAACTCAGAAGTTGCACAAATCTACTTTAGGGTAAAAATGAATGAACTCCTAGAATCAGGGAGATCAACTTCCCAGTTACCACATAGCAATGAAAATTATTGAACTACATGACAGGAATTTTTATAATAAAGGGGAACATTATTCAACTTCTTACTGGTGAAATGCAAACACTTTATATCTGATTAAATGATTGGCTCATGACCCACCCATTTAAAGGATTCAGATTGCCACCATGTAATGGAGACATCCTCTATTTTCCCAAAGGATCCAGGATTATTTGAAACTGAGCTGGACAACTATTTTTACTAGAATATCTATAATCTAAAATAAATTCCGGTTGCTGGGTGAAAAAAAATCAGTGCATGTTTATGAAGTGCTCAATCAACCTCAACCATGAATAAAGTATAAATGAACAAGAAATAGTTCAAGCACAATATTATTAGTATTTACATTCGCACTTTTCTTTCATAAATCATCTATTTTTCATTTAGTAATAATTGATTTTTTCTTTTAAATCTTTTCAGAGGAAATGATTCAGAAAATGCTTATACTTTATTGTTACTATTTAAAATAATAACATTATACAAAATTGTTGTATTTTGGAATCTTTCTCTAAAGATAGTATGATACTAATTTTAGTCATAACTGGATAACTGTTGGGCTTGGTTAGATATTTGTGAATTCGTTATTTTTAAAGTGGAATACTTTTATTGGGGGCTCTTACATCTCTTATCACAGTACATACATTCATTCATTGTATCAAGCACATTTGTATATATGCTGCCATCATCATTTTCACAGCATTCTTTGTATTTGAGCCCTTTATACCAGCTTCTTATTTTTCTCCCTCCCTCTCCCGCCCACTCTCCCTCATGAACACTTGATAAGTTATAGATTTTTATTTTCATATCTTAAATTGGTGAATTCTTGACTTACAAAGTACAAATGTCCTTCCTGGTTTCAGATATGTGATCAATTGAGCATATATTTTACATATTTTATCAATCAAACATTATATATAACCAGTTGAGCAAATTACTTAATTTGTCTCAGTTTTATAAGTTGCAAAGTGGAGAGAAATATTTAACTCAAGGTCACACATATATAATAAACTTAGAGAAGTCACTGCCCTTCATAAATAATATATAGATATTAATAACCCTCCGACTGCCATTGAATGGGTTCTGACCAGCAACCCCGTATAGGGTTTTTGAGACTGTAAATTTTTATGGAAGCAGATGGACTGATCTTTCTTCCAAAGAGAGGGTTTGAACCACTGGCTTTGCAACCAGCAGACCATTGCTTAACCCAATGTGTCACTAGGACTCCTTAAAGGTTGTTTGCTATCATGAAAGTTACTATTTCTATTTCATTTTATATAAATGAGGCTCTTTTGAAAACGACAATGATATAAAGAAAGAATTAGTTTTGTTTTGGTCCTAACAAAATACGGGATTGTGCTAAATTGAGCAAAGCATTTCCCTACTTGATTCTTCCTGGACAGTGCGCTCACAGCAAGACGGATCACAGCTATCTAGAGTTCAGGTTCAAGCCTTGCTTTCTAGTTCCTTCTTGGTGCCAAAGCAGTCTCTAAAATAATGACAACAATCATTTATTTTTCGCATAATCGTGTGAAAGCCTTTTGAATCGCGCCCACTTTTCTGACAGCGTTCCTTGCAACTGGTTTCGTGCATGCTGCACCATCCCAGACGACTTCGCCATGCCACAGTCACTGATTCTGGGTCTGGTTCAAAGGTTAACTTGCCTATGGACTTTGCTCGCTTCATTGCAAAGGAAATAATTTCACCCTTTGGTAAAATCTAATTTCTACAGACAAATCACCTACCTTGTTTTATGGGTACATGTGTGAAGGACACAGGGGACCCTGGGTGTGACAGTGGCTGAAGCCCTGGGTCTGATGGAAGTTACCCGCCATTGTGCGGGGGCAAGGGTGGCATCTGCTTCGGTAAAGATTTACAGCTCGGGAAACCCCACGGGGCAGTTGGACTTCATCCTGGCGGGTCGGTATGGCTCAAAATACACTCCATCACAGTGACGATGACGAGTACAAACCCTCAGATTCACGCATACTTGAGCGCAGGGACTGGCTGATCATTTCGATTATTATAGGCTAATCATGGCTGAAAGCCCTGTCAAATACATATCCGTGTGTGCCTTCAGATTAAGCCACACAGTAAGTTAGACATAAATTCTCCGGTTACTCTAAAAGAATATTTGAATTGAATGAATTATTTCTACGAAAATGTTAAGCAGTTGCAAATAATCAGAATATCCTAACTCAAAATCTTAAATAATTATGCTACAAAGATTAATCAATAAACAGCATCTAAAACACCATACCAAGTTATCTAAGCTTAAAGATGTGAAAATATGAGGGTAGGTAAAAAAACAATGCTACAAAATCATAGACATTTCTATTAAACAAAGAGATCAAAATGAAGCTACTGCTACTCAATACATTCTCCATGTAGGTTTACATATTTTTGTAAGGGTATTTCCTCTGTCTAACCCCTCCTCAAACTGGCCTGTATTCTTCAATTTATACCACATGAAATAGCAGTTTTGATATCATCAAGGAGCTTAAATCATGCATCTTTTGAATTTTCTTTGAGTTTTTAGGGAAAAGCTGCCGCCAGGGGTAGACCTGGGTTATAGGATGGAAAGGACAGAGCTTCCCAATGCAGTTCTCATAGAATAGTCCTTGCTACGAAGGAAGAATAAGCAGAAACATTGTTGAGATTAGAAAAAAAAAATAGAACCGAAAAACTTCCGTGCAATTTTCCTGATCCTTTTCTTCTCAATGCAATTTTCTATTTCCTTAAAACTTCTTCCTAATAAGGCTCCGTGATCATTTCAGGTCTCTGAGAAAAGCAATCGAGAATTTGCTTTTGGAATCCCTAAAACAAATCACAATAAACTTCTGATATGTCTTCTCTGGCCTCAATTTAACTGGCTCAGCAGAGTCCCTTGAAATCTACTCTTTTAATTGGATTTCTTTTTTCTTTTTTAAAAAACACCCTACAGAAAATAACACAAGTGTATTACTGAGAGAACTTCCCTGTAGCCAACCACTGATCTCCAGGGCCTATTTAAACCTGTTTTGTTTGGAATAGACCGAGGCACGTATCAACTAAAACCATAGTAGCAGCAATCTTTTGTGACTCAGCCTCATATAAGAACAATACATTTTCTCTTGTCTACATAAATGATGTCATAGGCAACAATTTAATTAAAAAAATAAGAAATATACTTTCTTCTTCTGTGTATATTCTACCTAAACCTCATTATTTCATGTAATTTTTCACTCAACTTATTAGTCATATATATGTACAAAACAAGTTTTCAAATTATTTAATTGTATGTAGTTATTAAACATATGCAACTAATAACAAGTTTATTTTATAATTATGTTTGAATTAAAATTGGAAATCTGAGTTGTTATCTGGAAAACTCAAATTGGGAAGACAAGTAAGAATTAACTCACTGCCATTAAGTCAATTCCAACTCACAGGGAGGAGAACTGCACGAGGTGGCTTTTGGAAGCGATGCATCTTTATGAGACAAGAGAGTCTCATCTGTTCGTCATGGACCGGCTGAACGTTTCAGACTCTGACCTCGTGGTTAGCAGACTAATTTGTAATCCACTATAACGCAGAAGAGACTTTTGTTGTTTGTATTTTCTGTATTATTTATTTGATCCTTAACCTCATGCCATATTGTTGTATTTATCTCTGAGGTATTGGCCCAGACCTTTTCTTTGAGGTTAAATTTTTTTTTATGTTTAAATAGGAAAAAGAATATTGATTTGGGCAATTTAAACAAGGGATTTTCAAGAAAGGTAGACCCCTGATGAGGTAATTAGATTCCTTATAGAGAATATGTTCTGGTTAAGTAGTCATAAAAGAGAAAAAGAAAGTGTATAGACATCTATATGTATGAAGGTCAGCCATGCTATGTGAGAAGGCTGGCTGTTTTCAGTCCCTCGATCAAGTGATCTAAAGACACAGTCAAACACATTTGTATAGTAAATTCATTTCTATTAACATTTCCTAAAGCTTAAAAAAATTAAGTGGAAGGCAGTTTTAGACTGGTGTGTTATTCAGTTAAGATAGTAAAGTTTAATGTCAAATTATATTGAGATCATTATATATACATAAATTTGAGAATTGTCTAGATTTCAACAAGATAATTGACCACTTTCCAGTATAAATGGCAAAATACTTTTTATTACATTAATCTTGCTGCCTTAAACTTTATGCCCTTTTCTTGAAAGGGGTATTATTTCATGTCTGGGCTCATTTTTAAAAGTCTATCAAAAACTTAAATTCCACTCAGATTACTCTTAATAGATCCAGAGAGAAACCATTTATTTATGTTGGCAGTGGTGATTGAAGACCATATTGTCATAGAGACTCAGCTTTCTCTCAAGGTCAATCAGTTGAAATCTGAAGGGAATTTAGATAGAGTCCAAATAGCCACAGTTGATAGTCTATACACGAGCAGCTTAAATCAGCGTTACCAGTGGCATAGAAAATACTGGGAAATGTTATCTTTTCTACTTATCAGCCGAATTCAGTTAAAAAGAAAAGAGCAGCAGCAACAGAACTTTAGAGTTGGATTTTGCACACCATGATATGCAATTGCTGTTTACATAACAATTTGGTAAAGAATCTATCTTCCAGATAACATAGTATAATAATTATATACAAAGTTTTAGATTTTTGAATGTGAGTTCTAGTTTAAATATCTCATCAGAGCACTATTTTTTTGGAAAGTTACCTATTTCTATAATGTTGTTCTTTTCCATATATAGTATCTATGATAACATTTAAGAATCTTTTACTTTTTGTTCTTTTCTCTTAGGGTTTTTGTTGTTTTGGTCCTTAAAAAGGTATGCTTTAGAATGGCTTCTTTACTCATTTAACAAATGATCAATATATGTTTTTATGATTTTCTCTACATATTCATGACATGATCCTAACCAAGGGCTGGTGCTATACATCAGATTCCAGAACTTCACTTTATAAAGAAAACATCATCTGAGTAAAGTAAATTTTCCTCACTTAATTAGCTAAACAATCAATTAGTAAGTGATGTCTCAGTACTTTCATCATGTGTCTTCTCATCTTTCATGGACACAACTATGTTTAGATAGGACATCAGCTATTCCGAGGGCAGCTCATGGAAAAATGTCCCTTCCTTGTACACTACAGTACTTCCTGCACCTGGAACAGTGCTTGATAGCCGAAAGTTACTGAATTGAGATTTCTCTATTGATTTACACAAATATGATAGCATGGCTTGTTAGGTAGAAACAAAAAAGCAACACCATCTTTGATATCAATGAGTGGGGTTAAAATTCCCAGGGCAGCAGAAGTTGAATTTTCCTTATTACACTCTGCATTAGGACATTTGGAAACAAAATCTTGACATTTTATTTCATCAGCCATGTATTCTAATTTTTAAATATGGACATACACTTAGCTACTAAAAGGTCTATCTATGTAGGGTAAAATACAGAGACAGGGTAGAGATTTCTGATAAGGGCTGAAGAACTGGACAAAGGTTCTCAGTGAGGAGAGAATGATGCAGAAGCAGGTGAGGTTCCATCTTAAATGAACTCTTTACAGCCTGAGCACCCGTTGCAAGTAGCCACCGGAGCAAGTAGCCACTGACCTCAGGAAGCACCACGGAGAAGACCGTACGTACCCTAACAAATGTGCTTTATGTAGGAGTGTTCTTCAAATGTTTTGATTAAGCCCAACAACTTAGTTTCATTCTTTTGAAGTAAGGGTTCTAAGCAAGATCATTGATTGTAGCAATGAAAATTCGGTGATGGAATAAAAACGACGAGAGTTCTGCAAAACGGAACACTTTTTCTTCCTCTGAGGAACCAATGGCATAAAGCAATATATATATATTTGGATATATATATTTATATATATCCATATA